ACGGCATCTTGCTTTCTAGGTGGCAGCTGTTTAAGGTGGGCTCTTGCCCTGTGGGAGCTTTTATGGCTCCTTATGGGCCACCCCCTTGACTACAAGTCTGGGGAAGCGAGCGGGACTCCCTTGGCCTCCCTCCCCTGCCCTCCCCTCCCCTTTTCTTCTTTTTCTTTTCTTTTTTAATCTTCACCTGAGGATATTTTTTCCATTGCTTTTCAGAGAGAGTGGAAGGGGGGGAGAGAGGGGAGGGGGTAGGTAGAAACATCAATGTGAGAGAGACACATCCATTGGTTGCCTCCCACTCACGCTCCGACTGGGGTGGGAATCAAGCCTGCAACTGAGGTAGGTGCCCTTGGCTAGAATCGAACCCGGGACCCTTCAGTCCATGGTCCGACACTCTACCCACTGAGCCAAACCGGCTAGGGCTCTGGCTTTCTTTTAACCGGCACACACGGACCCACACTGCTGGGTGCCCCCTGCCAGGTAACGGAAGCCTTCTGGGCAAGGCCACCTGCTACCTTACCACGGGCCTGTTCTGAGTCTCGGGCACCACTCGCTCGCTGGCTGCCAGGCTTCCAGAAGCCCACCCGAGCTCTCCAGGATGCCCCCTCGAAGCACTTCTCCCAGATTTGGGATAAGAAGGCATCCCTCAGCACATCCCTGAGGAAAGTGCTGGAACTCAGTGTGACATGAGCTCTTTCGAAATCAGTCGCATCACAAAATTCGCCTTTCAGAATTCACCCTCCATCCTTCATACTCTTGAGGTGGGCCAGGGGTTTCAAGAGTGGCCAATGGTTTCTTTCTATTTTTAAAAAATTTGGATCTCGGCCAGCAGCAGCTGAGTTTGGAGCTTCATGTCTGTCCTGTCCTGGAGCCCAGTGGCAACTCCCAGCATCCGGTCGCCCTTTGTGTCGTGCTTCACGGCAAATCCAGAGTCCCGTCCACGGCCTGCAGGCCCCACATGGCCCGACTCTGAGCCCCCACAAAAGTTTACAATATCAAAATATCAAAGAGTTTTTGATAATTATATGTTAATAAATATAAAAACTTTATCAAAGTGAATGCCTTCCCAGAAAAATGCGAAACGCCAAAATTGGCACAGAAATATAACAACTTCAGCAGATCAACAACCAGCAAATAAAACAATGCTCTAAGCGGCCGGCGTGAAGGAGCCCCCCCCCCGGAGCGCCCGCGGGAGGTACCCCCAGGCCTCGGGGAGCGGGTGGCCCTTATCTGTGCCAGCTGTTCCTGCAGGCGCGGCGTGAGAAAGCGGCTCAGGCCCCCCGGGCTCTCAGACCAGGTGGGGACAGTGACAGGAAAGGGAAGCACGAAGCGTTTCACTCGGAAAGCTGCTGTAAAAGCAGAGTCCCGTGGAGTGAGTGATTACCGCAGAGTGCCCACCGAGGGGTGGGGGAGGGACTTCCGACGTCCAAACCGCAAATCCTGCTTGCAGCATCTCAGAGCTCCGGCCGTATGCGGGATTTCTCCTCCACCGAATGCGGGATTTCTCCTCCACCGAGACCTCAGAGCCCATGTTGCCCGGCGGGTGGTTGCGACCTAGTGACTAAAGGCCCCTGCCCTGGCCAGCTGGCCCGGCTGGCCCAGTGCCCCCCACGCACCAAAAGGTGGCAGGTTTGCTCCCGGTCGGGCACATACAAGAATCAACCAAGAAATGCATAAATAAGGGGAGCAACAAATCTCTCTTTCTCTCTCAAATCAATAAAGAAAAAATTTAAAAACCTACAATGTTCAAAGAAAAGAGTAAGGAACGAAAATGAGATCGATAGCATAATATTGTTTATATAAACTGAAACCATAAGTGCACAAATGTGATTTTAGATTTTTTTTTTTTGGTGCCCTGCCCTGGAATAGAACTGGCAACCTTTCGGTGCACAGGGTTATGCCCAACCAACTGAGCCACACTGGCCAGGGCGCGATATTAGATATTTGATAGGATCCCTTCATATTTAAGTGGGATGGGGATGGGAAACCAAATTGAGAGAGTGGCCTTGCATCCATTGATGATCCTTGCACACCATGATATGAGGAACACAATAAACTTAACTCTCTGCTCCCTAGGACCAAAAGAGGGGTGTGCAAAGCATACAAAGAGGCAATTCACGGAAGCAGCGCGAGTGGCACAGAAAGATATGAAAATACACTAATCTCACAGATAATGAAGGGAATGCAAGTTTTAGTAACAATGAGATCATGTTTTTTCACCTATCAGATTAATAGCAGTTTTAAAACATTATAATATACTGCGCTGTGGCGAGGGTGTAAACACTGTGGATGGGAATCTATATTGGTTGAGCATCTGGGGGAAGTGACTGGGTATTATCAAAAGGTATATTGCTGCCCCGGCCTCAGCTGGAGCATCGTCCTGTACATCCACAGGGTTGCGGGTTCGATCCCTGACCAGCAATGTTTCTCTCACATCTCTCTCTTTCTCTCTCTCAAATCCATAAACATATTCTCAGGTGAGGATTTTAAAAATATATATATCTTTACTGACTTCAGAGAGAGGAAGAAAGAGGGAGAGAGAGAGAGAAACGTCAATGATGAGAGCGCCATTGATCGGCTGCCTCCTGCGTGCCCCCGACTGGGGATCTAGCCCGCAACCCGGGCCTGTGCCCTGACCGGGAATCGAACCGCAATCTCCTGGATCCTAGGTCAACGCTCAACTGCTGAGCCACGTGGATTTTTTTTAAATGTTATATTGGAAATCTGCTTATAGGAACTTATGTTTTAGAAATACCCAATGTGCAATGGCTCATTTACAAGGCTGTCACTGCCGCAGCGTCTGAGGAAGGGAAGCTGGCCGAGGTCATGTGCGTATTTGATGGGAGGGGACGGGCTTAGTGCACTATGTTGGCCAGACACTCGATGCAGGTGGCTCTGCATGTACTGACACGGAAAGCTGAGCAGAACATACTCTTAAACAGAAAAAGTATGATCTCATTTTTGTTGAGAAATTATACACAGTCATGCGCCACTTAATGACGGGGACATGTTCTAAGAAATGCTTCATCAGATTTCGTGGTCGTTGGAACATCACAGAGTGCACGCGCACAAACCTAGGCGGTCAGGCCTACTGGGTGTGCCAGGTCACGTGCTAGGTCCTAGTGCTCCTAGGCTACTGAACTGTGCAGCACGTTACTGTACAAAACAACAGGAGCTGAAATCAAGCATAAGAGAAAGTGTTGCAGTCAAGAAGCGCGTTACACATAAGACGCACGAGGCTGCGGCCACTGCACATGAGTCTGGGCTTCGTGGGAAAGGGCTGAGATATGAAAGCTTGTGGGCAGTTGAGAGGCAGTGGACGGTTTTTAAGGCTCTCAGACTGGATGAGCTCCCTTGAGGAGTGACTGTGGCTGGAGAAGGGTTCTGTGCTCCTTATGACAATGTTCACTTGAGAAGTCAAGACCTGTTCTCTGCCAAGGAGGGAAATCAGCTGGGTAGGGGTCTGCAGGGGGCTTGTTCTCTGAAAATGAAACACCTGTGCTTTCCACCTGGGGTCCCGTGGGTGGCATTCAGTAGAGGTGGTGGATGGGGGGATAGGGGGACAGCCCACCAGAAAGGACAGAGTTTACCTGTTTTTAGTGAATAGGTCTTCACCTGCAGCGTTATTTAGACTGTGAAGTTGGTTGTGCTCTTGGCAGAGGTGTTACTGGGGTGGAGCTGAGAGCAGACGAGGGGCCACAGGAATGGAGGGCCCAGAAAAACACTGGGATTGACTTCCTTAACCTGTCTCACTGGGGCCATGCCGTTGCCTAATTAACAACTCGTACATAGCAGTTACAGAGCCATGGAAATGTTTTACGTGTATTTGTATATATTAACTGATTTAATCTTCACCATGGCCCTAGGAGGCGGAGACAGCCGTCACCAGTCCCACGATGCTCACGAGGAAACGGAGGCACCGAGGAGGCTCTGCCGCAGGTGGAGGAGGCACCGAGGAGGCTCTGCCCAGGTGGAGGAGGCACCGAGGAGGCTCTGCCCAGGTGGAGGAGGCACCGAGGAGGCTATGCCCAGGTGGAGGAGGCACCGAGGAGGCTCTGCCCAGGTGGAGGAGCTGAGATTTCAGCCCAGTGCTTCCCTGTGCTCTTAAGTATTGTGCCCACTGCCTTCCAGTAATGGTTAGTTATTATTACAGAAGTGAAAACAGACATTTACCGAGTGCACTGCCTTTGTAGTTTCATTTAATCCTTGCAGCAAACCGATGGGATGGGCCAGTTTTGCAGGAGGGGGAGAAGTGACTTGCCCAAGGTCACAGAGCTAGTGAGAGACCACTCCAGGGCCTCTGGCCTGCACCATGTCCCTATGCTGCTGGTGGTAGTGGTCAGCACCATGTGTCCTATGGGGATTTACCATGTCAAGGCTTTTGGGTGCTGCTTAGAAGTTTGAGGTAAGACTTAAATGCTCCAACTCCCGGCAGAGCTTTCTCCAGCTCTGGTTTGCCTATTGCCTTGCTCCTGGACATGGCATTCAGCTTTCTGGCCTTTCCCATCCTGCCAGGGCCCGGGAGGGCAAGTGGTTTGAACAAGACCTTGTGAGAGTTCAGTTTGGTTCTCACAGGGTGTCAGCCAAGGCTGGGGGCAGCCCTGAAGGCAGGCAGAGGGAGAGGGCCTGCCTCAGGTGCCATCTGTCATCTTCGCGGAGTGCGAGGTCCCTTCCTGATGGCTGAGTCTTAAGGTCCATTTTACAGATAGATGGGGAAACACAAGCCAAGCACAGGCAGGGGACTCACACCAGGTCGCGGAGGAGGCCGCAGAGGCAGGAGCGGAGGCAGGGGTTGGCCCTGGGTTTCTGGACTCCTAGGCTTGGACTAGTCCCCAGCACCCTGTTGAACTCTCCCCTCTGGAAGGAAGTTGACCTCATATACCCTGGCTCACCCTTCCTGGTCTGCTGTTTGCCAGAGCCCTTGGGACTGGCTGAGGACTGGTTGCCATAGAGATGGTGGAGAGGACAGTTCCAAGGCTGGCTGATGGAGGTGGGGGGTGGGGCAGGACACCAATATGCTAAACACCCACCAACAGTTGGTCAGGACCACATCGGGGAGAGCAGGGCAGGACCCCCGGCTCCAGGCTCCAGGGATGGACACAGCGCTGCTCAAGCTTCTGTCAGGCATCCCCCAGGCTAAGCAGGTGAGGTAGGGGGACTTCCAACTGCCCAGAGGCAGGCTGGCTCTCTTGGGTCAGGGGAGGCCAGGGCTGAAGGAGGCCCTTGAGAAGCCATGAGACTGAGCTGGGCCCAGTAGAGTCAGGGAAGCTCGAGGGGGGACGGGACCCTGGGGAGGCCTATAAGGATGGGGGTGAAGACGAGGAGGAGGCCAGGAGATGACGCCCAGGCTCCCGATGGAGCAATTTAGGGAGCACTGCGAGAGGAGCAGGGTTTGGAGAAGACAATGAATTTCCTCCACCTTCGATTAGCAAGTTTGAGGCCCTATGGGGCGTTCAGAAGAGCTGCGCAGGGCCCAGAGGCAGCATAGTGCAATGGTGACAAACCTGGGCTCTGGGGACAGACTCAACATGTTCACACATTGTTTGCGGGTAGTTTTTATCGCGTGCTGTACTACCAGTCAACGTAAAACGTGTAAATACGTTTCCCGCATACAATGTGTTCAGGTCCTGGCTCCATTTACTAGTCGTGTGACCTGAGTCAAATGACTTTACCTCTCTGAGCCTCAATGCTCTCATCTCCATGATGGGGGTGACCTACCTCACAGGGTCCTGGGGAAGGTTAAATGAGTTAATGCGTGAAAGTCTGAGCACCTCCTGAGCTGTTGCTGTTTTAATGTTATGAATCGAGGTAGCTATCAGCCAGTTTTAGGCGCAGGCCAAGGTGCAGAGAAGCGGAGGGCCTCCTGGGGAAAGTGTAAAGTGGTCTGGGAGCTGGGCCGCCTCTCCTCTCTTTGCCCAGGGGAGTCTTGGGAGAGGTAATGGTGTCATTCGGGGCCAGCGACAGAGATCTCAGAGTGCAGGGCAGACGACAGAGAAGAACCGGAGGCCCAGGGGCAGGAACAAGAAAGGCGGCGGCTGTGCGGAGGCTGAAGAGTAAGCGGCTGCGGGCCGGGAAGGAGGCTGGGGTTAGGCCCCGCTGGGGGCTGGGCCCTGACCCTGACCTCTGCCCCCGCCCCTGCCCTCTCCCTCCGCAGCCTCTTTCTCTCTCCTCCTCGGAAACCCTCCTTCCCTTTCCAGTGGGCCTGGGAGAGCTTCACCACCGATGGCCAGATCCCGGTTCAGCTGGGCTCCCCCTCTGCCCCCGGCCACCACGCCCTGCCCTTGACCCCCGCGGTCCCCCAGCACAAGTCCAGCCGTAAGTCTCCTGCCAGCTGTCTAGAGGACCCCGACTTATCCTGGAAGATGAAGGTGCGAAACCTGGAAAGGAGACAGCAGCTCAGGGCCTGGGGCTGCGTCTCCACCTCTTCTGGCCAAGGGGAGGGCCAAGAGCTGGAGCTGCCGGGTGAGCTTGGCCTTCAGTCACCTGGGAAGAGGTCGGGATCAGGATCGGAGTCCGAGGAGGCTGCTGAGGAGGCCGAGAGGGGCCAGAGCCCTGGGGAACTGCTCCAGCTCCCCAGGAGGGGGTTGATCTTGGAGGAGGAATGGTTTGCAGAGGCCACAGAAGAGGGCGAGGAGGAGGAGGACAGGGCCCCCTCCAGGAGGACAGGCCCTTGGAGAACGGGGCAGAATTCCTGTGTGGAGGCCCCCGAGGAGGGTGAACTGCAGTGCCAAGGAAGCAACCCCGGCTCCAGCAACCCCCAAGGACCACAGAGGAGGAAGGCAAGGGCCACGGAGCTGGAGGGGATGTGGGACCTGGAGAACCTGCAGAGGCAGTTAGAGCAAAACTTGGACTGTGGTGAGTGTGAGGCTCAATGCCTGGGTTCCCTAGGAAGTTGCAGGGGTGGGGAGCCAGTGACCTGGGCCAGGTCTGGCCTGTGCTCCAGGTGCCAGGTGGAATTGCCCAATGGGCCAGGGGAGAGGCTAGTCCCTTGTTTCTCCCACTGTGGATAGGCCCCAAAAAGCATCCCTGGAAGGCTTTGCGAATTGCGGTCCAGGCCTCCAACAGGAGTGAGAAGGCCCATGCCCTGGGAGATGATGCGACACTCCTGTTTGCCAACTTCCCTAACCGCACCTTCCACAAACGACAGGAGGCCACCAGGTAAGGTGGCAGAAGGGTGGGAGCCAAGGGCAGGGAGCAGAGAAGGAGCCAGTTCTCTAAGAGACAGTCATTCATCCTCTCGTTCATTCCCCCATTTATCCATTCACCAGTCTTTTGATCACCCAATCATCCAGCCGTCCGTCCGTCCATCCATCCATCCATCCATCCATCCATCCATCCATCCATCCATCCATCCGTCTCTCTGTCTGCTTGGCCAACTGTCTATTGACACAAGCAACTTTTCATTTACTTCCAATCTTCTATCCATCCATAATTTATTAATTAAGTGATTAATGCAACATATATTGAGCATATACTCATGCATCGTCAAGATATAAAGATAAAAAGACTTGGCCCAGACCTAAGAAGCTCAAAGTCTGCTGGGAAAGGAGACAGATGAGCAAAGCAACAATAATGGCAGTAGAGTTAGATAATTGTTGTACTTGGGGCTTGAACAAGAGACAGTGGGGGCAGAGGGGAAAGACTGGATGGGGGTGGGGGGCTGTTGGCATTGTCTAGGTGAGAGATGATAAGGGCCTGAACCAGGTAGCCATGGGAGTGGGGGGTGTCCATTTGGAGCCTGGCTCAGTAGGCCTTAGTGACCGATTAGAAGTGGTAGGTGTGCCCCAGCTGGTTTGGTTCAGTGGTTAGAGCGTCGGCCCGCGGACTGAGGGGTCCTGGGTTTGATTCTGGCCAAGGACACGTACCTCAATTGGAGGCTCCATCCCCAGCCTCGGTTGGGGCGTGTGTGGGAGGCAACCAATCCATGTGTCTCTCTCACATCGATGCTTCTCTCCCTCTCTCCCCCTTCCACTCTGAAAAGCAATGGAAAAAATATCCTCAGGTGAAGATTAAAAAAATAAATAAATAGAAGTGGTAGGTGAGAAATCATTCAGCCTTCTGAAAGTGCCCCTCAGTTCTTACCCTGTCACTGTCATCTCCTGCTTGAAATTCTTCCATGCGTCCCTGTGCCCTTGGGACAAAGCCCAGATTCCTTGGTAAGGAGGCTCCTGTCTCCCATGCCAGTTGGTCAGAGGGGCTGGACTGCCCCATGCTCTCCCTCCCTCCGCATCTGCCCAGCTAATTCAGATGCATCTCTCAACTCTCAAGTCAGAGGCCCCTCCAGGAAGCTCTCTGGGCTTGCCTCCACCATAGCTCTTGCCACGTGGCCCTGCACTGGGGCGCTGGGCTGTCTGCCCCTCCCTGCGCACAGCCTGAGGACAGGTGCCACACCTTACTCATCATAGCCCCTCTGGTTCCCTACGCAGGACTTGGCACATAGTGGGTGCTCAATAAATATGTGCTAACTGAATAACTGCATCTACCCCTTTGTCTATCTGTCCATCTTTCTGTCTGACCATGATTCAATTATGCATGACTTCACCAATGTTGAGTTTCTATGTGAGGCGCTGTTCCAGCTGCTGGGGATACACTGGTGGTGAATGTATCAGGACAGATAAAAAACTCTGCCTTCCTGAGGCTTAATTTTACTTGGGAGGAAGGGTAATTAATGAGGAAATGAACAAGGTGCACAGCTAGAGCTGGAAGATAGCTGAGAGGTAGACGGGATGCTCAGGGAGCCTCTCTTTCCCTGACACCTGAGCACAGCCCTGGTTGGTGAGAAGGGACTGGCCACAGACCTGGGGGAAGAATGGTCCAGGCCGATCTAGGTGTTGTCTCTTCAACCATCCACACCATCCATCCGTCCGTCCCTCCATCCCTCCATCCCTCCATCCCTCCATCCCTCCATCCCTCCATCCATCCATTGATCGCAGCACCATTTTGTTTTAGTTTTCTATCCATTCATCCACCTGTCTGTCCCTCAAGCCAAAATGCATTAACCCTGCCCCATGCTCCCCACCTGGCCCCTGACCCTCGCGGGCCTCTGTTCCCCGCGGACTTCTCCCATCCCCTTCGCCCTCCCCCGGCCCCAGGAGCCTGCTGCAGACCTGGGAGCGGCAGCAGCAGCAGGAGCAGCAGCGGGCGGAGCAGGCTGCCTATCTCCAGCCCGGAGGGGCCTGGCTCTGACCCCGGTGGGCAGGGGGGATGTGGGGGACCGACCCGCGTGGACACGTGGCAGTGGAGAACGCAGTTGGGAGGGAGGTGAAGGCTGCCCAGGGTCTGGGTGTCGTCTCCCAGCAGTTGTCCTTGGTAGATGAGCCGTACCTGCTGCTCCCGGCCGGGAAACTGGGTCCTGAGGAGAGAGGGACCTGGGTAATAGAGCAGGCCTCAGGCAATCCTAGTCCCTTGCCCAGAATAACACTCCCACCCCTCACCTCTGCCCTCCACACACCCACCACGCACCCCGGTCATGGCCCCCCAGGGGGTTCCCTCCTGCTACAGGGGAACAGTACAGTGTGTGATTTGGGCATCTGAGTTCCCACATCTATAAGATGAGGGGGAAGTCTCAAGTGTCTCCCGTGGCCCTTCCAGGTCCGTGATCACTCCCGCCCACTCCTCAGCACTTGGTTCCTCTCCTCAGCCCAGCTTACCTTTTCAGGGAGNCCGCACACCCGGCCCTCCCTTCCCCCGCGGGAGCCTGCGCTGCGGTCCTCCAGCCCTGCGGGCAGGCGGCGGCCCTGGGCCCCGCTCTGTCGGTCAGGACAGTGCCACTCAGGAGAAGGGGCTGGGCCAAGGTCGCCCCGTAAATAATCTCTAAAGCTGACAGATGCTCAGGTTAAATCTTCCCCGTGCTTTCTCACACTTCCAAGTCTGATTTCCAAAGCCAGGCATACTTACTATAAAAATCCAGATATTTCTAAACCAGTTGATGTAAAATGTGGACAGCACGTGAGGCCCCTCCTGGAGACAGCCATTGTTCGCGGTTGGTGAAGAGTCATCTGTTCTATTCTCTCCTTATATTTTGACCATTAAAAAACCCCTCAGAGCCCGGCCAGCGTAGCTCAGTGGTTGAGTGTTGGCCTATGAACCAGGAGGTCACGGGTACGATTCCTGGTCAGGGCACATGCCCGGGTTGCAGGCTCAGTTCCTAGTAGGGGGGAAGCAGGAGGCAGCTGATCAACGATGCTCATCATTGATGTTTCTATCTCTCTCTCCCTCTCCCTTCCTCTCCCTGAAATTAATCAAAACATATTTTAGAAAACAAACTCCACAAGTGCATATTTAAAAGAAACTCTCTTTTAGACTTATAACAGGCTCATGAGGTAGGTAGGTATCACCATTCCCATGATTCTACAGATGAGGAAACTGAGAGCTCAAATAATTTTCCAAAGGAAACAAGTGAGCTGTGAAGCTGGGACTCCAACCCAGGCAGCCAGTTAGCCACCCTGCTGCACTGTCCTGGAGGGCTCGATACCCAGGCTCTTTTCCCAAAGCCCAACCTAGTGAAACAGGTAACACTCTGAGCACTGATGCCATCGACACTGAGTACCTACTGGGTGCAGCTGGCACCAGGGCAGCCCTTTCCATGCCTCACCTTCTTTCATTCTGGGAGATCCTTCTTTCCAGATCTCAAGTTCATAGCTTTTACAAAGGCAGGAGGCGTAAGGTTTCAAACTCCAAGGGGCAGACGTCGGTGAGAGGAGTGTTTCAAACAGCACCTTTCATTCTCTACTTGGGAGCAGGCATTTCCCGTGGGGCCTCTCAGCCCTCACGGCCTGTGAACTTTCCTGTCTGAGCTGCATGGAGACTCTGCCCTGCTCAGGAGGGTGGGCACAAAAGAGGTCGCCCTGTGGTGGGGAGATGATGGACATGGCTGACATCCACTGACACGCTGCCTTTTCTTTTCTTTTTTAAAAATGTGTTTTTATTGATTTCAGAGAGGAAGGGAGAGGGAGAGGGAGACAGAAACATCAATGATGAGAGAGTCATTGATCGGCTGCCTCCTGCACGCCCCCTACTGGGGATCAAGCCCGCAACCCGGGCCTGTGCCCTGACCGGGAATCGAACTGTGACCTCCTGGTTCATGGGTTGACGCTCAATCACTGAGCCACGCTGGCCGGGCAGCACGCTTCCTTTTCACGCAGGGCTCCCAGACATGTGCTTTCTCTCCATTCTAACACAAACAGCATAAAGAATCAAGCAGGAAAAGGTACTGACACCACGGGCAGGACAGCCGGAAGGCCAGTCCATGTTCCCCCTGCGCTACCCCCTGTAACTGCTATAAATTCCCTCTTGAATGGCGAAGACTCCTTTTTGCAGTAACTTCTGCTCCTGGCCATGGGTTTTCGAGTCCACCTCTTTTTGTTGAATGGAGGAAGATACCCTCCCTGGCTCATAGACAAGGATGGGGCCCAGCAGACTTGCTGAAGGTCCCAGCGTGAGTGGGAGTCTTCTCCCCTCCCATACTGTCTGTGGGTGTTGCCACCACACCCCACAGCTTCTCCTAAGGGCCTCACAGGATGCTTGGGCCTGCGTGTGATGTGGCCAGGGGGCCCCTCTTGCTGCCAGGAGGCTCAGCTAGTTGTGCACACATTTGGGACGCGTGCACACACTGGGTTTTATGAATGGGTTTGTGCTTCTCCAGTGGAAACTTGATCTTTCCAGGATGTGTTCTTTTATTTGCAGCACATTTTTTAGTTCCTCTGTCCCATTTTCTGAGCTGTCCGCTTATAAGAACCACAGCAAATGCTGGCAAGCTCACTCAATCCCTGCTATAGCACAGAGGAGAAAACAGCCCAGAGCCCAGCGCAGGGCTTTTCCCAAAGCCTCAGCCCACAGCCACAGCTTCCTCCTCACAGGGCCAGTGTGAGAAGGTGCAGGGTGCAGACGCCAGGAAGGCACAGGCTGTGCGAGCAGACACCCAGTTGCTCAGAAGCCAGCACTGGCCTCTCTCCCCTGGGGGTGGTTGGGAGGGTGAGTGAGCCCTGGCTGCTCAGCCTGGAGGCTTCAGCTCGGGCTCAGTATCTCAGGTCCCAGCCGCACAACCTTGGTAAAGTCCCTCAACCCTCCTGAGTCCCAGGGGAGTCATGAGCAAAATGGGGCAAATACTAATTCCTCCACCACTGACCTCAGGAGGAACCCAGGGCGAGGACAGAAATACAATGGCTTTATAAGGGAAGGGCGGGAGGACATGAGGTCCTTAGTGGAAGGAGCGGCTCAGAGTGGGGATGGGTTGTGTCCATGGCAGCTGCCCAGAGGCCGGTCTCCCCACAGGCGCCAGGAGCGGCAGCGCTTTGCTGAGTACCAGGCCGAGCTGCAGGGCATCCAGCACCGGGTGCAGGCCCGGCCCTACCTGTTCCAGCAGGCCATGCAGGTGAGGGATAGCGCCCGGCTCCGTGGGTAGCGAGGCGAGGTGGAGTGGGACCCCAGGCTGCTGCCCATCTGGAAGCCCTGGGACCCCCTCAGTAATCAGAGCCCCACTTGTCCTTGGGGCCCTGGTGCACAGTGGGATTCCCTTTCTCCTCAGGCCAACGCCCGGCTCACCGTGACCCGGCGCTTCTCCCAGGTGCTGTCAGCACTGGGACTGGATGAGGAACAGCTGCTGGCTGAGGCAAGAAAGGGGGACACCAAAGGCACCTCCCGGAAACCCAGGTGAGGCCGTCCAGCTGGCCAAGAAACTGGCGCTGCCCAGCTGTGGGGAGAGGGACCATCACCAGCGCTCTGGGCCCTGCAGGGTGTCCTCCAGCAGTCCCCCTGCCCCCCTTCAGCTTGTGCTGGAAGTCTGGGGGAAGGCTGAGGAATTCCGTGGGCAGCCAGCCACACGGAGCCACCCTGAGTCTAAGCGTCAGTCCTGCCCTGTCCACCCTCCCTCCCCCTCCATGACCTGGAAGACTCTGCCACTCTAGCAGTCAGCAGGTACTTCCCCAGGCTCTGTCCTCCCTGTCCCCTGAGTGAGGTGGGCCAGGGTTATTCCCCCCACTTCTCAGTGAGGAAACTAAAGACCTGAGGGGCAGGGTCTTGCCCAAGGACACGGCAGTAAATAAGCAGCAGAGCCAGCCTGGGAAGCTGGTGCCGTCTGAGTGGCCACGCGCCAAGCCTCCATCATGGGCTGGTGCCATGCCAGTCATCCTGTGTACTGCCCTTATGCTTTAGAGCAAACTGGAGCAGAGCAGGGACTATGAGACCTAATTCATAGGAAGGAGCTGAGGCTTGAAGAGTCACTTCCCCAGGTCTCGCAGCATAGGAGCCATATTTGAACCCATATCGTCAGTGACAACGGCCTTTCCCCTCCTACAGCCCAGGTACCATTGGGTGTGGGGTTGGGGAGCTGCAGAGTCCAGTGGCTTCTATCTTTCCATCTTTAAGGAGCCACAGGTCAGTAGGGGAGAGAATGGAACACTCTTCTCCGAGCCCCACAAGGACAGAAACCACCGGCAGCCAACCTGAGAGGCACTCCACCCCAAACTCGGACTGGGAATCCAGTCCCTTAGATAAAAATTAAAGGCTTTATGGAAAATACTGTGTGGGATTTCTGGTGGTGGTGGGAAGAGACTGTAGGTTGGGAGTAGGAGGTGGCAGGTGGGTAGGCAACAGGTTTGGCTTGTCCCCCCACCCCCAGGGGCTCTGGCTGTTCCAGCCACCAGCACCCTCAGCCTGCCTCTGCTCCTGCGTGGGGCATCTCACAGAGCAACAGCTGCGACACACTGCTGTCCCCCCCACCCCCCATCTTATATGCTGGGTCCTAGAAATTCAAGAATGAATAGTACAGGATGGTCTCTGCCTTTGAGAACTGCCAGTGCCATGGGGGAGTAGGGCGGACCTTTAAAGGGGCGCACACATCACACAGTAGCAGACGGACCTCCGCACAGGGGCCGCCAGAAGGAGCAACTGGGGGGTCAGGAGACACTGTGTGAACCGGGCTTTTAACTTTAAGTAACTTCAGGTTATAGCTTCTCTACTCAAGAAAGAAAAAAAAGCTCACACACACAATTGTGCCAAATTTTGTACCCAATTTCAGAGGTTCACAGACACAGCTCTTCTGCAGTTCACAAATCGCAGGTTAAAAAACCGAATCCAGAGAACGTGGGAAGGCAGCATTTGCCGACAGTACTGGTTAGAGGGACTCGGCGGCTGGGCTGTGGAGCTCGGCGTCTCGAGCTGAACGTGCTGGTTCGTCCAGCAGCCGATGGAGGCACGATCCCGGGGAGTCCACCGGGAGGACGCCCTATTGGGGAGCTGTCCTCGGAGTCCGTGAAACAGTGAGCGTCCGGGGCTTGGGGTGTGCAAGCGGCGGGAGGCGGGGAGACGCCTCCAGCCCTGGGGAGGCAGGCTCAGAGGCCCTCCAGGTCCCCATGGTTTGGGACCGTTCTCCAGACCGCGTCCCAACCAGGTCCGCGCACCTGAGGGAGCGCACGCGCAGTCGGACCGCCAGCTCCAAGACCTCTCCCCAGTGCAGCTGCGATTGCGCATTCCGCTCCAACCCCGGCCTTCCCGTGAGCCTCCGGGGCAGCCTCCAAGGCGAGCGACGGAAGCAGCCGCTCTTGGTTTCCGGCAACACGACCGCGGCCTCAGGGCGACCCGGAAGTTTTCCCATTTTGCGTTGTCGGGCCTCGGTGGCTGCCGGGCTCCGGGCAGACGTGCCACCATGGGGTCATCAAAGAAGCACCGCGGGGAGAAGGAGGTGGCCGGGACGACAGCGGCGGCCGGCACCGGGGGCGCCACCGAACAGCCGCCGCGACACCGGGAGCATAAAAAACACAAGCACCGGAGTGGCGGCGGCGGCAGCAGCGGTGGCGAACGACGGAAGCGGAGCNCCTGGGGCTGCCCGGGGTTCCCTGGGGCTGCCCGGGGTTCCCTGGGGCTGCCCGGGGTTCCCTGGGGCTGCCCGGGGTTCCCTGGGGCTGCCCGGGGTTCCCTGGGGCTGCCCGGGGTTCCCTGGGGCTGCCCGGGGTTCCCTGGGGCTGCCCGGGGTTCCCTGGGGCTGCCCGGGGTTCCCTGGGGCTGCCCGGGGTTCCCTGGGGCTGCCCGGGGTTCCCTGGGGCTGCCCGGGGTTCCCTGGGGCTGCCCGGGGTTCCCTGGGGCTGCCCGGGGTTCCCTGGGGCTGCCCGGGGTTCCCTGGGGCTGCCCGGGGTTCCCTGGGGCTGCCCGGGGTTCCCTGGGGCTGCCCGGGGTTCCCTGGGGCTGCCCGGGGTTCCCTGGGGCTGCCCGGGGTTCCCTGGGGCTGCCCGGGGTTCCCTGGGGCTGCCCGGGGTTCCCTGGGGCTGCCCGGGGTTCCCTGGGGCTGCCCGGGGTTCCCTGGGGCTGCCCGGGGTTCCCTGGGGCTGCCCGGGGTTCCCTGGGGCTGCCCGGGGTTCCCTGGGGCTGCCCGGGGTTCCCTGGGGCTGCCCGGGGTTCCCTGGGGCTGCCCGGGGTTCCCTGGGGCTGCCCGGGGTTCCCTGGGGCTGCCCGGGGTTCCCTGGGGCTGCCCGGGGTTCCCTGGGGCTGCCCGGGGTTCCCTGGGGCTGCCCGGGGTTCCCTGGGGCTGCCCGGGGTTCCCTGGGGCTGCCCGGGGTTCCCTGGGGCTGCCCGGGGTTCCCTGGGGCTGCCCGGGGTTCCCTGGGGCTGCCCGGGGTTCCCTGGGGCTGCCCGGGGTTCCCTGGGGCTGCCCGGGGTTCCCTGGGGCTGCCCGGGGTTCCCTGGGGCTGCCCGGGGTTCCCTGGGGCTGGAGGTAGTGCCGGCCCCGCACGCCAGGCGGAGGCATCCGTGGGCTGGCCTTGTCAGCGCTTACTAAAATGTCTTCTTACCAGCGTTTGAGATTAAAGGTTGCCTTCCTTTACTGAGCTCTGCGAGGGCAGAAATTTTGTTTTCCTCAATTGGCGCATCACAGGCCCTCAATAAGTGTAATGAGTGAGTGAATGAATGAATGAAGTGGCCCCAACATGTACAGAGGCAAGAGAAAACCTGGTACTGGGTGGGCGAATCACGTAAGGCTCACGTTGGAGACACGAGGCTGTGAGGTAGGGCTCCAAATGCGAAGGGCCCTGTAGGTCTCACTGAGGAATTGGAACTTTGTCCCGAGCGCAGTAGAGCCATGGGTTTGAATTGGGGAGTGAGCTGACCACATGCGTCTTTGCGAAGAGCGCTGCGCTGGGTGCTGGCTCAGGGGTAGTCAAGGCTGGAGGCCAGGCGTGGCGGGCACCGGGGCAGCAGCCCTGGGGTGGACAGACTTGGATAGATTGAAGAGGTGGTTTGGAAGAGGAATTAACACACCTGAATGAGGGTGGAAAGGAAAAGAAGGAATTGAGGATGACTGGAATTTTGTCTTGAGCAACTAGGTGGGGGGGGGGG